GTTTATAAGCATATTGGACTAAAGCTCAAGATTGCACCATGTCTTCCGCACTAAACGTCACGTATCACGTGATACATCCCCTAGTGGTAGTTTTCGATATTCAGTAAGACGATCTATACTCTGAAACGTTCCTTGTGGGATTGGGTATCGCAGGTTTTAAGCTTACGTGAACATCTCTTGCTAACGTGCACTCAACTCTTAAATTTCAACGTTACCAGTTGGTCTAGGATAACATTAGAAAACTTTTGGATGAGACAGTTCCCATAAATTGTGCCGCTTTTTTTTTATTTGGCAGAACTTAACACCATGAAAAATAAGCCAGCAGTGAGGAGTTACACATCCGTCCTGCTTGTCTGTGGTGTGTTTTGCTTACTCCAAGGTAAGATATAGTACTTCGATTAAAATCTCACTTGCACTATGTTGTATCTTCATGTTATTTTGTCCGACAAGAAAAACAGGTGTCATATATTTAAACCGAAAATCAAAATTAATCTATCCAGCTGTTGTATACTATAAAGTATATGGAGCTTAATTTCTCAAGTTCTCTTAGCACCAGCAACTTAAGGTTTTGTCTCGATCAACAAGTTTTCAGGATAGAAACTGCACAAAAACAAAAAGTTCTGAACCACACAGCCGTCCTTTCATTCAGCGAAAGCTAATTAATTGAAAATCAAGAAAGTTAACCTTCAACATGACAGAGATGTAGAACACTTTCTATGAGTTCATGAATGAAAAGTCACTGTAATTCTCTTTCCACTACATTTTTGATATGAAAATGTATTTCAATTTTTACTGGATGTATTATTGTAAATATTTTCCTGAATTTCATTATGATGATTATGCATTCTCAATCATTTCCTACTGCATTTACAATTGCTAATTAATGCATCGTGATGTTGCTATGGTAGCTAGTTTTGCAGTTACTAATGTATTATGATGTTGCTATGGTAACTAGTTTTACAGTTACTATGTATTGTGCTGTTGTTATGGTAGCCAGTTTTACAGCTATTGCTAAGTTAAAGATTAATGCTCCAATTATTATAGTATTAATAAGTTATTGACTCTAAACTTTCATTATTAACTGTATGTCTTGTACACTATAAGGTTGCGGTTTGCAAGTAAAAGTTTCCAGAAGGCAAGATTTACATTGTCAATTTTCTGTTTACTATGTCCTGTTAAATCATAAACATCACGGAGACAGCATGCAAACATACTTGATTTTCGAATGTTTCGGGATCTTCGAATTTAATCATCGGCGATCTGTAACAGTGTATTTGAATAATTCATAACCCTTAATATATATATATAAGAACAAATAATCTAAATAGAACTTGTAAATTACACTCATTTCTTTGTTTGAAATGTACGGTTGCTTTGATTGACTGATTTTCTACTTCTCTTGTGTAAAGCTCTATAAACACTGTACTATTTGACTTTCTTTCTTGTTTGTTTATTTGTAATTAACCACAAAGCTACACAATGGGATATCTGTGCTCTGCCCACCACGGGTATCAAAACCCGTTGTAAGTCCGCAGACATACCGTTGTGCCACTAGGGGCAACTTTCTTATGTGATTTGTGCCTTTTAATTGTATTAACCTATTGTCCTTTGCTATATATATTTTAAGTACCATACATCTTCCACATATCTGTCGCTAATGGTAAAACCCGTTAATCCAAAAATATCAGAAAATTAAATATGAATACAACTGTTACCGTAGAGTCTCTGTTTTGAATTGATGAACTTACTGTCGCAATGCATTGTTCTTCAAAAACCTATAATACTATTATATTAGCATACTGATTATAACTGATACCAAACTATTACTATACTCTTCATTTCTGTACATGCTACAGGGATACTGACGGCAATGATATTATATTACTATTTCTGTTTGGTCTTCAACGACAATTTTATCCTAACGTTGTGAACTCATGTAACGCATTACTCTTCCATTTCTGGAAACGACTCCCAGTATTTTAAACAGCTTGTTTGCTGAATAATTCAGAAAAATAAATCCGTATCACCAATGTTACATATTCTTCCAATCCTATATAGGTTCTCTGTGGTGAGTAAAAGACAACGCCAATTTTATCATATACACTCTACCACCATGTGAACACTAGTCTTATTCTTTCGATTGGCCTTTATCTAGGGTTACCGTTGAGGAGTAAAATTCCCCGAAACCGGTATTATTTAGTCGCTACTAATAAACTGAATGATATATTGATTTTTTTAGTGTCTTTATTATTAATTAAATGTCATGGTTGTGTAGAAACAAATGATTAGTGTTTTTTCTTCTGAATATCTTAAAACCGGTCAACTCTTTGGTTCTAACATAATGAATTGTTCTCATTTTTCGTTTAAAACTACTCATCATCGGGCTAGCGATGGTGTCCTAGGTTTCTAAACTAATATTTGATTCACGTAATCGCTTTGAAAATGTAGTAAACAAATTTAGCTTAGAAAATATCATTATCTTTAAGACAACATGATATATGTACCTCACTGTCAGAAAAACAAACAGGTAAGTTGAGGGTTTTAAACCAACAGTTAGACTGGAATATTTTCGGGACTGTATTAAATCATTGTCCTGTATCTTCTGGTTTGTAGATTACTGTTCTATATCTTCTATGTTTGAATTATTGGATCACTATTGTACTTCTTCAGGTTTTACTAGCTTGCCATTGTATTTCTGTTGTTTGTAGGTTATGTTTTTCTTGTGTTTCCATTTGTCTGCCAGATTTTTATATAACCAGTTCTCCCTTTACTATTTAATCTACCATTTCTGTTGTACTTTTCTCTCTTCAAACAGATTTACGGTTATTATGTTTTTTGTTTGCTTTCTCTGTTGGGATGTATATGTCGTGATTTCCCTTTCTACTAGATTTTAATGTCACTTTATGAATAATTATCTTTCTGTTAAACTATTTCAAGTGCGATATAATTCTGCACACCAGTATGTTGTTTTTGAGGTCTCCTTATCAATGTTCTGTTTCTACGCAATTGTAAATTTACTTTTCATCGCTTTCTTTCCACAGAGCTATAAAATTATTCTCTTTCTATTGGACTGGTTGGCTAGGTCACTCTACCTGTTCTACTAGTTTAAAATGTTATTTGGTAAGTGTTCTGCGACTACTCGACTGTATGTTAAGTAAATGCCTTGCTCTCTCTCTTTCTCACTTATAAGATACTATATCCCGGTTCTGTTTCTAGTGATTTATAAGGCCCAAAATCTAATCATCAATTTATATGCCATTCATACTTATTTATTTCACTGACTAACCAATATACTTTAGGGCCGGCAAGGGCCTAGTGGATAGCGTGCTTGGGGTGTGAATCTAATAGCCGATCGTTCGCAGTTCGTTGTCGAAAAACATGTTCTGTATTTTGGAACCAAGAGCGTCCTATAAGAGTGGTGGTCTAATTCAACTATTTAGTCAGACAAGATTTGGCAGTGGGTGCTGTTGACTAGCTGTCTTCCCTCTAGTA